CCATTCTAAGCTCAGGGCTCAGGGTCGGGGGTCTCACTGGACCACCTTGATTTTCATGCAAACCTGCTCCTGGATGGCCAGGCTGGCAGCTATCCTGCCCTAGACGGCCACTTTCCTGTGCCTAGTGCGGAGATCGTGGATGAGGTCCACGATGTCTGCACTAGACCAGGCGGGGGCGCCCCTCTTGCGGCCCCGGGCAGGCTCCTGGGTGGCAGCGGGTGGCTGGTTCGTTCCATGCCAGGTGCAGGGTCTGCCGGCTGGGTGCTGGCAGGCTTGCATCTGGCACGGGCACCATAGCCAGCCCGTGCCCCTTTAAGGGCTCCGGGGCCGGGAGGAGGGCAGACGAGTTTCCCTGGTGGTGCCCAGAGTGGCCACCAGGGAGAGCTGGGGAGGGCTAGCCTCCCACTAGTTCGAATTAAGGGGCTACACAGCCCTTATTTCGAACTGCTTAATTCGAACTAGGCGTAAGTCCTCGTAGAATGAGGTTTACCTCGTTCGAATTAAGTTCGTACTAGCGGTTTGTATGTGGAGCGCCTATCAAAGTTAATTCGAACTAACGTCTATTAGTTCGAATTAACTTTGTGGTGTAGACATACCCTGACCTCTTCTCCTCAGGCCCAGAGGTCCCAAGGGCCGCTCCCTCCTCTGGGCCTCTGAGCACTTCCTGCCAGGCCCAGAGATCTCAGGGGTATTGGGAGCAAGGACGAGGAGTCCTTCTTCCGCTCTCCTCTGCGCTGGTTCGGCCTCAGTGGAGGCTTGTGTCCAGTTCTGGGCACCGCATTTCAAGACAGATGTGGAGAAATTGGAGAGGGTGCAGAGAAGAGCAATAGAAATGCTGAAAGGCCTAGAGAACCTGAGCTGTGAGGGAGACTGAAGGAACTGGGCTTGTTTAGTTGGGAAAGGAGAAGACTGAGAGGGAAGGGGACAGAGGGAGGAGGGGGGAGAATTGTTCCCCTTGGTCTCTGAGGACAGGACAAGGAGCAAGGGGCTTAAACTGCAGCCAGGGCAGTTGAGGCTGGACATGAGGGAAAACGTCCTGCCTGTCCGGGGGGGATAAATTGCCTGGGGGGCTGTGGAATCTCCATCACTGGAGATATTGAAGAGCAGGCTGGACAGACACCTGGCAGGGATGATCTAGACCCGTGGTCCCCAACACGGTGCCCGCGGGCGCCATTGCGCCCGCCAGGTGCTCGGGGCTGGCCTGGCCCCAGGCACATGGCGCAGCGCTTGCGGGGAGCGTCGGCCCCGGGCACGCGGTTCGTGGAGTATTGTGTACAATTCTGGGTACCACACTTCAAGTAAGATGCAGAGAAACTGGAGAAAGTCCGGAAAACAGGAAAGAGTCTAGAAAACATGATCTAAGAGGGAAGACTGAAAGAATTGGGCTTGTTTAGTTTAGAAAAGATAAGACTGAGAAGAGACATGATAGCAGTTTTCAAGTATCTAAAAGGGTGTCATAAGGAGGAGGGAGAGAAATTGTTCTCCTTGACCTCTTATGATAGGACAAGAAGCAATGGGCTTACATTGCAGCAGGGGAGGTGTAGATTAGATGTGAAGAAAAACTTCCTAACTGTCAGGGTGGTTAAACCCTGGAATAAATTGCCTAGGAATGTTGTGGAATCTCCATCACTGGAGATATTTAAGAGGAGGTTGGCTAGACATCTGTCAGGATATCTAGACGGTGCCTGGTCCTGCTGTGAGAGCAGGGGACTGGACTTGATGATCTGTCAAGGTCCCTTCCAGTTCTAGTAGTCCATGATTTTATTCTTCTCTCTCTCCCTCCCCATGGCCTGTTCCTCGGGGCACTGACCCCCCCCCCTCCACAGGCCCAGGGCCCATTTCCAATGGCCCATTTCTCTAGGGCCTGATCCCAGGGCTCCAATCACCCCCTCCTCACGAACACATTTCTCCCCATGGCCCATTCCTAATGGCCCTTACCCCCTCGTCCCCAGGTCCAGGGCCCACTCCTCATGGCCTGTTCCCTAGACTCTAACCCTTTTCCCCAGAAGCCGGGATCAGTGTTTCCTCTAATTGTTTACATCCATGTGCAGAATTAATTGTATTTGCACCAATTTGGAGGTGGTGTGGTGTGGGGGTGGCTGGGAGGTTTGGCATGTGGGAAGGGGCGCAGGGCTGGGGCAGAGGTGAAGGGCTCTGGGATGGAGCCAGGGATGGGGTTTGGCGTGTGGGAAGGGGCGCAGGGCTGGGGCAGAGGTGGAGGGCTCGATGGGGTTTGGCGTGTGGGAAGGGGTGCAGGGCTGGGGCAGAGGTGGAGGGCTCTGGGGTGGAGCCAGGGATGGGGGTTTGGCGTGTGGGAAGGGGCGCAGGGCTGGGGCAGAGGTGGAGGGCTCTGGGGTGGAGCCAGGGATGGGGGTTTGGCGTGTGGGAAGGGGCGCAGGGCTGGGGCAGAGGTGGAGGGCTCTGGGGTGGAGCCAGGGATGGGGGTTTGGCGTGTGGGAAGGGGCGCAGGGCTGGGGCAGAGGTGGAGGGCTCTGGGATGGAGCCAGGGATGGGGTTTGGCGTGTGGGAAGGGGCGCAGGGCTGGGGCAGAGGTGGAGGGCTCTGGGATGGAGCCAGGGATGGGGTTTGGCGTGTGGGAAGGGGCGCAGGGCTGGGGCAGAGGTGGAGGGCTCTGGGATGGAGCCAGGGATGGGGTTTGGCGTGTGGGAAGGGGCGCAGGGCTGGGGCAGAGGTGGAGGGCTCTGGGATGGAGCCAGGGATGGGGTTTGGCGTGTGGGAAGGGGCGCAGGGCTGGGGCAGAGGTGGAGGGCTCTGGGATGGAGCCAGGGATGGGGTTTGGCGTGTGGGAAGGGGCGCAGGGCTGGGGCAGAGGTGGAGGGCTCTGGGATGGAGCCAGGGATGGGGTTTGGCGTGTGGGAAGGGGCGCAGGGCTGGGGCAGAGGTGGAGGGCTCTGGGATGGAGCCAGGGATGGGGTTTGGCGTGTGGGAAGGGGCGCAGGGCTGGGGCAGAGGTGGAGGGCTCTGGGATGGAGCCAGGGATGGGGTTTGGCGTGTGGGAAGGGGCGCAGGGCTGGGGCAGAGGTGGAGGGCTCTGGGATGGAGCCAGGGATGGGGTTTGGCGTGTGGGAAGGGGCGCAGGGCTGGGGCAGAGGTGGAGGGCTCTGGGATGGAGCCAGGGATGGGGTTTGGCGTGTGGGAAGGGGCGCAGGGCTGGGGCAGAGGTGGAGGGCTCTGGGATGGAGCCAGGGATGGGGTTTGGCGTGTGGGAAGGGGCGCAGGGCTGGGGCAGAGGTGGAGGGCTCTGGGATGGAGCCAGGGATGGGGTTTGGCGTGTGGGAAGGGGCGCAGGGCTGGGGCAGAGGTGGAGGGCTCTGGGATGGAGCCAGGGATGGGGTTTGGCGTGTGGGAAGGGGCGCAGGGCTGGGGCAGAGGTGGAGGGCTCCCAGGGATGGGGGTTTGGCGTGTGGGAAAGGGCTGGGGCAGAGGTGAAGGGCTCTGGGATGGAGCCAGGGATGGGGTTTGGCGTGTGGGAAGGGGCGCAGGGCTGGGGCAGAGGGGGAGGGCTCTGGGGTGGAGCCAGGGATGGGGGATCGGAATGGGGGAAGAGCAGCAAGGCTGGAGCCAGGGATGGGGTTTGGCGTGTGGGAAGGGGCGCAGGGCTGGGGCAGAGGTGGAGGGCTCTGGGGTGGAGCCAGGGATGGGGTTTGGCGTGTGGGAAGGGGCGCAGGGCTGGGGCAGAGGTGGAGGGCTCTGGGCTTGAGCCAGGGATGGGGGTTTGGCGTGTGGGAAGGGGCGCAGGGCTGGGGCAGAGGTGGAGGGCTCTGGGATGGAGCCAGGGATGGGGTTTGGCGTGTGGGAAGGGGCGCAGGGCTGGGGCAGAGGGCTAGGCTTAGGGTGCAGGGTGGTCAGGGCTCTGGGGTGGATCCAGGGATGGGGGGTTTGAGGTAGAGTGCCCTGGGGCTGTAGCATGCAGAGAGGACTCCTCCTCCCCATCTCTCTCCCCAGCTGCAGCAGCTCTGGGGCTAGGGCTGGGGGAAGGGGCCTCTCCCTAGCTGCAGCAGCGCCATACTCCAACCCCAGGCCCCAGCCCTGAACTCCTCCCTCAGCCTACATCCACTGCTATACCTCAACCTCCTGCCCCTCCCCATGGCCCATTCCCCTAGGTCTTCTCCCTTCCCAAGGGCTGTTCCCCAGGGCCCTGACCTCTTTTCCTCCAGGCCCAAGGTTTATTCCCTCTCCATGGCCTGTTCCTCTGGGCCCTGACCCCTTTGCCCCCAGGCCCACTCCCTCCCCAGAGCTCATTCCCAAGGCCCTGACTTTGCTCCCTCTGGCCCAGTGCCATCCCCCTCTGCAGACACAAGCACCGAGGAGGAGTAAATAACAAAAGGGGCGGGTCACTTGCACAGTGTGCTCCAGACTGCTCAGTAAAGCGGGTGCAAGCAAACACTGTGCAATGTAATATGGCAAAATGTAAATGACTTTTGTTCCTGGAGAACATGCTCTTCTAGGGAGCAAAGAGTCTGAACAGTATTTGGGGATTGGAGAAAACGATCCGCGAAATGCAGGCTCCCAGTGCCGAAGGCCGGTGCTAGCGCGACCCTGGGACACGTGAACAGGACTCTTGAGGAGGAGTCGAGAGGTTATTTACATCTCTAGTTGGGACTGATGCAACTGCTGCTGACATCCTGTGCCCAGCGGTGCACCCCACACATCAAGGAGGATGTTGCTAACTTGGGGAAGGTCCAGAGAAGAACCATGGGAGTAACTTTGCAAGTGCCAGTCTCCGGAGTTGTTCCCAGGCCCGTGGTTTGTTGCTGCGCCCCTAGAGCAGGGTGGAAGTGGTGCATTTCCTGCAGGGGAGGGGAACAGTTTTCAACCCTGCAGAGCTTCCCCTATGAGTCTCTTTCTCTCCCAGGTGTCGTTTCCCTCTCATGGTCCCTGAGTGGCAAAGCCAACACGCTGGTGCAGCTGGTGATCTCGGCACGAGATGGGGGGGGCCTCTCAACTCAACCCAATGCCCAAGTGAACATCAGCATCGTGGCTGGCACAGTCTCACCCCCTGTCTTCGAGCAGGCTCAGTACTTCTTCACTGTGCCTGAGGACGCTCAGCAGGGAGTGAGCGTGGGGGCCGTCCGGGCCCACAACCCCCCGGGTATGGACCTACCGCAGCCCTCAGAACACACTGGGCCATGTTGCCACTTCAGGGGGCCTGTCCTCCTGCCTGATTTGCCACAGTGACCCTGCTGGGAGTTCCCCCACAGCCCGTGCCGTTTCCCCCCCGGCCGCCCCCCGCCCCCCCCCCTGCTGGCGTTCCCCCACAGCTAGCAGCCTGCCTGGCCCCCTGCTGGCGTTCCCCCACAGCTAGCAGCCTGCCTGGGGCCATGTTGCCACTTCAGGGGGCCTGTCCTCCTGCCTGATTTGCCACAGTGACCCTGCTGGGAGTTCCCCCAGAGCCAGTGCCCTGCCTGCCCCCACGGTGCATC